TTTTTATGTTGTAGTTCAGCCTCTGACCACTAGTTGGCAGCAGTGAGCATTTGGCTCCTCTACCTCTTGAGCGCCAGAGAATAAGGGTAGCATTAGCATTGTGAGTAAACATTAGCTTTTCTTTTTTTTTTTTCAGTAAGAGGTTTTTATTTAATAGAATTTTTGGACAAAAAAAATCGCAATATATCGCCTTGCTTACAGTATTGCAATATATCGGGATATATCGTATCGTGACCCCTCTGTTATGATATGTATCGTATCACCAAATTCTTGCCAATAAACAGCCCTAACAAGAACTCAGTTTCTTCTTTTTATTATTATTTTTGATACAAAGGGCCCAACCTGGAAGTTCTCCCTGCCCTGGTGAGATCAGTGTAAGATTTTAAAAATATTTTTAAATAATTTCTTATTGTTTAAATGTGTTGTAGACACATTATATATTCTATACATTAAACTGCTCAGATCTGGTGATGTTTCAAACAAACAAAAACCTGCCTTAATGTACAATAACCCATCAAGTGCTTTAGATTTGGTTGTTTGGTCAGCTTCAGTGTTTACACAACACAAATATTGTACAACACAAAATAACCCTGCAAAAATGTCTAATTTAGATTTATCTCAACTTTTTATTTCTGACTCTGTTAATGAAACAAGAAGCTGCCTTTAGGAGGCTGTGAGGCCTCTATAATAAATCCATTTTACATTTAATAATGTTTCTGGTAATTTATCATCCATCCAGAGTTACCTATTTAATTTTTCTGGATGAGAAGTTTAATTGATAGAAAAAAACCTTCTAAAACCCTTGAGTTCAATAATACTGAACATAATTTATAAAGAAATCAAATTTTTCACTTTTTAAATAATAAATATTGATTAAATCTTTTAAAAAAAACTTCTAAACTACTCCTAACAGTTAATTTAATATGTGAATGTGTTTCAGACGACCTTCCAGACGGAGCTGGGTCAGGTGCTGGACCTGATCACGGCTCCGCCGGGTCAGATCGACCTCGGCAGATTCACCATGGAGAGGTCCGAAGAAGAGAAGCATCTGAGATAAGATGATTATATCATGACTGCAGGAAATTGTTTGTTGCAACAAAAACTTTTTTTTGTTCTCCCAGGTATAAAACAATTGTAAAATACAAAACTGCCTTCTACTCGTTCTACCTCCCTGTGGCGTCTGCCATGTACATGGTGAGTGTTCAGTCATTAGACAAGTTAATGATGATTTTTTTTTTTGATGAAGTGCAACAACTTCTGACACTTTGTGTTTTTAGGCAGGGATTAACAGTGAAGAGGAACACAAAAACGCTAAACACATCTTACTGGAGATGGGAGAGTTCTTCCAGATACAGGTGAGTAGATTACAGCTGATGGATTATTAGATTTTTTGGTACTAATTAAAGACAAAACTGTCCAGTTTCTTAACAAATAATCAGACAAACCTGTTCACGTACATATTACATCTAAAAGGTGCTTAGGTGTTTAGTCTCTTTTTGTACCTGAATTAATGCATAATAAACACTTATTAATAATTTATAAAGTGTTTACAGATAAATTAAATTAATAATTTATAAAGTGTTTACAGATAAATTAAATTAAAAACCTATCTATAAACTCTTTAAAAGCCATCTATAAGGGGAGCCTTATTGTAAAGTGGTACCAATTTTTTTTCCAAACTTTATTCATTTCTAAAAAAAAAACAAATTTTAATTCTACATACAATAAAAAGAAAATTCAAATAAAAAGAAATGAAAGGTTAAAGATTATTACGTTCCTATGTGCTGCTGGTCATGCTGAGGTGTGTTTCATTTGCAGGACGACTTCTTGGACTGTTTCGGTGACCCCGCTGTGACGGGAAAGATTGGGACGGACATCCAGGACAATAAATGCAGCTGGCTGGTGGTGAAGGCTCTGGAAGTCATGACACCTGAGCAGAGATCAGTTCTGGAGGTGAGTCTTTTTAAAACAACCTTTCTGGTTTTATTATTTATTTTTTTAGTGTTCCTGTCACACTGTAACACTTCTGACAACTCATGGAAATTTTGTCCGACACTGAAAATGGATTAAAAAAATCTAGTAGAAGCGTTTTTTGGATCCACAGTATACATGACTTTAAGTGCTAAATACTTACTGTACTGCTAACAGTTAGAGCTAATATTTCATATTTATGTGTTTTATAATGCAAAATATTTAACCCCAAATATCCATAAATTTGGAGGTTTGTATCATACACAGAGGTAAATTTTGACTTTTTTAATACTACCACAATACATTTCAATATTTTCTCGTACAGAACTAAAATAAAGGCAATAAATTTAACATTTAATGAATTAGTAGAATAACAAATAACCCCTCCCCTATCAATATATTTATTTTTGTTTTAAATAAGTTGCAACACTTATGAAGGAATGTAATTCCATAAATAATTAAACAAATATGAGTGGGGAAAAAAGGTTTTTATATAAATTCTGTTGATTTATGCCTAGCTTAGGGGTATCACTACCAATAATGCTGTTTTTTACCTCCGCCAAGGGCGAGGTAATGTTTTCGATCGCGTATGTCTGTCTGTCTGTCGTTCTGTCTGTGGACAACATTACTCAAAAACTTGTGGACGGATTATCATGACATTTTTACCACATGTGTGTACTGGGACAAGGAACACACCTTTAAATTTTGGTGATGTTCTGGATCACGATGTGGATACAGGAATTTTTTTCTTTTAACACTCTGAGATCGGCAAAGCTGTGATGCTTTCACAGGGCTTCTGTAAAAAACAGTGAGCTGATTGGACAGCACCGACTTCAAACTTTATAAAAGTAATGTTAAAACCACATTTAATGATGAATAGTTTTTGCCATAATGTGCACATTTACAGAACGTTTTGTGACCAGGAAGTGTGTGACTGCACCATGAAACCTATTTTTCCCATTTCCTCAAACACACCACATTTCTGAAACAACCAATCAAAACAGTTTGCACTAGGCTTGTAAACAGAGAACTGCCGGGCCTCAAGGTTTGGAGACGGGGGGAGCCAGGAAGCACTTTATAAAGAGAGTCAAACCATTACAAACTCATACAAGGAGATAAAACAGACGTTTTACATGGTGAAATGTGACTGATGGAAACTTAGGAGATTAATCCCACACCAGTTTGACCATGAATAACGTCCGGTGACCAGTCTGACTTTGTTTTTTTTTCACATTGGACTCCACTGAGAAGAAATCCCGTCATACTGCTGCTCAAATGTTCACTACGTCAGAACTTCATTAGTAAATGTGTTTCATCTCTGCTTTTGTGCATTAACTCTTACAGGATGGAGGAAATTGGACTTGGCGGAGGTTTGCACTCTCAGAGTGCTTCTAGTTATTTATTTTGTATTTTGCCAAAAAAGTTTTTAAATTGTCATTTCAAACTGAACCTTCATATTCAAAATGTGATGACTGTTATAAAACTCCTAAAGCTCGACACTGAGAGGGTGTTTACAAAGAGCAGAGGGACCAGCACACAGTTTGAATGCCTCTCTGATGGTATAGGGGTGCATTAGTACCTGTGGCCTTGGCAGCTTGCACACCTGGAAAGGATCACAGGTTTTAGAACATACGCTCCCATTTAGAGGAAGTCGTTTTAAGGATGACTATATTAAACTGCTACTGCATCTATTACAACATGGTTCAGTGTTAAGAGGTCTCTTGTTAAAAGTTGTGATTTCCTGTTCAGTTGTGTTACGGTCGCAGTGATGAGACCAGCGTGACGAAGGTCAAAGAGCTCTACCACTCCCTCCAAATGCCAGCGCTCTACCAGAGCTATGAAGAGGAGAGCTACCAGCGGCTGCAGAAACTCATCGCTCTTCACGCTCAGAGCCTTCCTCACTCCATCTTTCTCAACTTCGCCAAGAAGATCTACAAGCGGGACAAGTGACGGGTGGTGTTTGCTCTGGGGGGAGGGGGTCCAACTGCAGTTTGATGGTCTGAGTTAAGTCAGGTTTCCAGTCAGGTGTAAATATCTGGTTATGAATGCCTCGATAACTGACATCATAGATTATGGTTTATTTTCACTGATTTAGGTGAATAATGTGTATATTCTTTACAAAGTGTATATTTAAATCCGTTACACTGAATTTAGCTAAATGTGTGTGAGACGGTTAAATTAAATCTTTGTTATTAAACAAAGTTGAGAATCACAACGAGGCTGTTAGTTCGAGCAGCCAGGATCTTTTTTTTTTTTTGGCTGTTGTTTGTCCGACTTAAAATGAAATCATGCAGGGCATGAGTTGAGCTCCGTATTTAACAGGCCCAAAGAACTTTACAGCAGATGGACAGTATTTTCTGTCATAAAGCGTGTATTTATTTTCATGTTTGGCTTTGTTAAAGCAAATTATTAACACCTTATACCAGATATTTTTATATTGATTTTGTTTTTTACAAATCTGAATGTAATAACTTTCAATAAATTGCTGTCTGCTGTCTCTGTACCCCAGTCTTTGTGTATATCTGACAGAAAAAGTACTATGAAAAATAAAACAATGTTAAATGCTTGACATCTTAATATATTTGTTTTCTTTCTGTCTTTGCCAGTAAATCTGACAAGTTTTTGACTTTTGTTGGATTAAATGTAGAAACGAGTCCCAGTTTAGAGGCTGAACTGTTTATTTGATATAAAGCAGATATTTTGAAAGAAAACATAATTAGATATCAGTTCCTGTAAAACATTGAAATACAATCTCAAAATTATGACTTAGAATCTTGTAATTACAAGATACCAAGTCATAATTTTCATTCTCGTGCAGAAACTATGAGATGCTAAATCGTGTCATGATGACTTGCAAAATCATGAAAATAAGATGACAAGTCATAATTTTGAGTCATCATGTTTAAGAACTATCTCAAAATGAAATGGAACATCTCCAGCCCCGATTTATTTAGAAATAATGTATTTATGATCCGGGTTTTTAATTTTATCTATCTATCTATCTATCTATCTATCTATCTATCTATCTATCTATCTATCTATCTATCTATCTATCTATCTATCTANATCTATCTATCTATCTATCTATCTATCTATCTATCTATCTATCTATCTATCTATCTATCTATCTATCTATCTATCATCAAATTAGCTGCCTTAGAGAATGTGATTTAAAAATTATTCTAGTTTAATAACACAAATCACGAAAATTCTTGAACTCTCGCGAGAACATCTCGATTCACACGTGAACTCTCGCGAGAACGGGGACTGTAAGGCTGTGAAAGTCAAGAGCAGATCTTCCTCCTCCTCCTCCTCCTCCTCCTCCTCCTCCTCCTCCTCCTGAGCAGACTGGGGATGTGAGAGAGACCCGGAGGAGATGGAGACCTTCATCCATCTTTACTCGGATGTAACCGTGAGTCTGTTATTACTCGTTTTAGTCGTCTAAATTTAAATATCTTTACGTGTTTTGTTGTTTTGTTCGTCGGGAGCCGTGGGTTCAAAGCGTTAAAAAAATGATTTTACACGGCGGATGCTCAGGTTCAAAACATATATTCGGCTTTTAACACGATAAAAAGCAGAAATAAATACGTTTGTGTTGATAATATCTGTCTTTAATGACATTTTGAGCAAAATTAGGCTGGTGTTTGAGGTTTGAATGGGGCGTGAGGGCCTGTGTGTACCAGGAGGATGCGGTTGGAGGAGCCCCCCCCCACCCCCCATCCCATCCTCCCTCCACCCGAGCCTCCATCAGATACTGATTCTGCACAAATAAAACACATTGGGGAGGAGGGTAGTAGGACTGGGCTTGTAAATGGTTAAAAATCCCAGTGAAGATGAGCAACAACAGCCTCTGGGTAAAGATGGACTTCTGATTATTTCATGCTCCAGTTAAATGTGCTTTATGTTCACTCACAGGCTGAGTTTTTTTCTCTTTCTGTCTCCTGATTCCTCTGTCAGCCTGTAGGATGGACTGACACAGATGGAGACAGGCTGTAAACTCATAAATATCATTTCAGCTGTGAGAACAGATGATAAGTGATGATTTATATTCGATATGACTAAAGAAACCAGGCTGAGAGTCTGGATTCATATAGTCTTAAATCAACTGTACGTGTATCTGTCAGGGATTTGTAACATTATTATTATTATTATTATTATTATTATAGGTGCTAAATATTGACTTTTTGCCAATATTAGATATACCAACATTGTTCAACACTTAATTTCCGATTCCGATATTAACCATTATTACAAAGCGATATTAAGCTGACATCACATATAGTAGTAGTAGTTGTAGTAGTAGTAGTAATAGTAGTAATAGTAGTAGTACTTTATTCATTTCATTTGTAACACAAATTAACAAATTACAGAAAAACATGCAATCAAAATAAAATCAAATAAAATGAAAGGCAACAGAAGAAGAATAAATCTTATAATATCTGCCCCTTTTTTATACCCAAAATATTGTATGTTCAAAAGAATAGTAAAATACAAAAAAATATCAAAACAAAACATTTAAAAATGAAATAAAAATAAAAAAGACATCAATTCAAAAAACAATTGGCATGAATTCACTTATAATTCTCCATATCTTCATATCTCCTTTCAGTGACATTATCTCCTTTTTGATACCCAACTGGATGCATTCCATAGATAAACATTGTCTGTACAATAATAAAAACCATTTACCTAAAGTTAGGGGGAAAAGTGCCATATTTATTTTCAACATTTTGTCTCAAACAATAGTTTGGCTCAAGCTCCCCCTGAGATAATCCAGTTTGATGATGTCATCAGTTGCGCACTGGTGAACGTCTCTGGACCACAAGTTTTTTTATTAACATATTTTGGTCAAATCCAGGCGTTAATTTATCGAGCTTTTGTTATCAGAATAAAAACCGATACCAATATGTAGAGATTTTACATTTTTATGCTAATATCGGACCGATAATATCTGTAGGCCGATATTATCAGACGTCCTAATAATTATTATTATTAAGTATATTGTATACTGTGTAAAAGAAAAGATTTCAAAAGAACATTTGGGTTTCTCAAAACGAGTCATCAAATAGGGCGGCGTGGTGGCTCTGTTGGTAAAGCTGTTGCCTCTCAACAAGAACGTTGCCAAATCGAATTCTGGGACCTTTCTGGGTAGAGTTTGCATGTTCTCTTCATGGTTTTTTTTTTTTTTTCAGACAAACAGAAAATAGACCAAAAGCCTAAATGTTAGGCTAATTGATAACTTTAAATTGTGTGTGAATGGTTGTTTGACTCTATGTGTCCCTGTGATAGACTTGGGACCTGTCCAGGGTGTACCCCGCCCTTTACATAGTAACTGCTGGACAGGCAGTGACCCTGAAAGGAAGAAGCAGATAAGACAATGGATGGATGAAGTCATCAAATAAAAAGGAGGGACAGTATCGCCTGCTGCCTTTCTTGCTCTTCATTTTGTGCCGTTGACCTAACACAGGGGTTTTACAAGGGTTGGACAATGAAACTGAAACACCTGTCATTTTAGTGTGGGAGGTTTCATGGCTAAATTGGACCATTAATCTTCATTAATTGCACATTGCAGCAGTAAGAGCAGAGTGTGCAGGTTCAGTTAGCAGGGTAAGAGCACAGTTTGCGTCAAAATATTGCAATGCACACAACATTATGGGTGACATACCAGAGTTCAAAAGAGGACAAATTGTTGGTGCACGTCTTGATGGAGCATCTGTGACCAAGAGAGCAAGTCTTTGTGATGTATCAAGAGCCACGGTATCCAGGGTAATGTCAGCACACCACCAAGAAGGACCAACCACATCCAACAGGACTAACTGTGGACACAAGAAGAAGCTGTCTGAAAGAGATGCTTTGGTCTAAAACTAAGGGTTTCACTTTCATTGTCTAACCCCTGTAAGTAGACTTCAGCCGAAACAGGAAGTTAAAAGTTCTGTATTTGGCAACAGTTTAAACCGTTTGATTTTAACTTTAAACTGTTTAAAGCAGAGTTTTGTGATTAAATCTACTTTTATTTTGCAGGATTTTGGGAGTGAAGCCAACATGTGACTGACACGATGCGTCAGCATTAGGTTATTTCCAACATAAACACTTGTTTAGCATCAGAAAACTTCAGAGGATCCTACAACGTCCTAGTTACCCACAATGCAGTCCACCTCTCAGGCTCCAAAGCCACGGCGTTTCGACGCTAGCAGGCGGACCGCTACCTCAGCTGGATCAAAGTTTCACGGTCCTAGTTTTCAGAAGGAAGATAAAAATATGAACACAATCACCGCAACCTCCACTCGGCGGGTTACTAAAACCCCCGCTGCCCCCTCCAGGACCAGGGCTGGTGTGCAGCCGCGAGTTCCCGTAATCCAGTCCAGGCTGAGCTCACAGAAACAGGGACCCGCCGTGTCCAGGTTGGCTAAGCCCAAACCTAAAGGTGCTCGCGGATCTGCCGTAGCCCCAACCTCAGCCGAGGCAGCTCCCCCTCCTCCTCTTCCTCTCCCATCCGTTCTACCCCTCGACCCAAACTGCAACGAGCCGAGCCTCCCGTGCCTGTGCTGCGATGGGCGCTCCCCGCAGGACAACAACAGCATGTTCAACCACAACCACAACAACAACAACACCATCTCTCTCAGGCAGCAGATGCAGCTGCCGCCGCCGCCTGCCCCATTGCCACAGAGGCACGATGGGACAGCGGCCGCGGAGGAGCTCCCCTCTCTACCGCAGGCCCACATGGAGCCTCCTGCCAACCCTGACGTGAAGAATGATGTGAAGAAGGCAGATGAAAGCGCTGGAGTAGACAACAAGAAACAGGTGGAAGAGGAAGATGATGGCGAAGAGAGCAGCGGAGACGTTGCTATCGAGGAGGAGACAGACAGTGATGACGACGATGATGATGACGATGACACGTTGGTGCCGTCGTGCTGCGACTGCCCACGGTCCCTGTTGGAGTTCTCGCTCTCCTCGTCTACCTCCTCATCCTCCACGTCCATCAGCTCCTGCTCTGACCTGGAATCTGACGGCACAGACCTGTCTATCTGCTCCTCCCATGATCAGGACAATCTCTCTGTTGCCCTGGACCCCAAAGACCACTTCCTGAATCAGGTTCCCAAGTTCCAGCTTCCTCCACGAGTACCTGCATCACTTCCTGTCAACCAAAATCCTTTCTCATTAATATCACGTTCCCCAAATGCTCTTTGTTCCCCAGATGAGGGCTACCCTTCTGCACTCGACTCACCCTCTCCAGACTACTTAGGACTGAAAGATGACTCGGAGGTTAACAAATTAGACTTGCTGGATTTTCTGGAGTCTGTGGGGGAGTTTGGGAAAATGGAGCGCTTCAGTCAGGTGATCCAAGTGGCCCGTTGGGATCTGGAAGGGGAGCAAAACTGGGACGTCCTGAGGGATCGCTTGGATCATTTGGATCGTTTGGAAAAGGTGAACAGGGAGGTGAAACTGGCGTACGTCGCCAGACTTCACGAGAAGGGGTTGGATCTTGGGGATCTAGAGGAACAGGGCCTCACGGATGTCCTGGATGAAATGGGGAACATAGACATCCCCTGGAAGTTGTATAAAACCCAGAGCGGGACTATGGGTGGCTCCCAGGAGTTTTCCGATGCCGGGGTCGACCTGACTGCCCCGTCAGACACAGAAGATCCTCTTGTTCCTGATTCCCTCACCCCGTCCCCCAAGGAGCCACCACCCAGACCTCCAAAGCCACCGGCGCGTCACTCCAGCGTGACCTCCGACCTCCACACCTACATCAACATCAGCAGAGAGACATCCTCCACGAGTGTCTCCACCTCCCCTACTTTGACCACTTTCTCCCCAAACTCCTCATCCCCCACATTCACCACATTTAGATGTGAGAAGCCCCTCCCCCTGTCTCCACCATCCGTCCCACCTCTCCCTGCCTCGAAACCCATCCCGTACCTCTCCCTCTATACCACTCCTTCTCCTCCTCCGTCCATCCCCACGCCAACCCCTCCAATCCCACCGCCCAGAAAGCGACACCTCGCTCGGAAGGAAGCCCAGCGCCTCGCCGCCCTTCAAGCCGAACAGGAGAAGACCCCTGTCTCCCTTCCGCCACCCACCACACGGCCTCCTCCTCTGCCTCCTCCACCTGCTATCTCAGTTACGTCCTCCTCCTCGCCACCTGCCTTGCCTCCCCCGCCTTCCTTTCATGCGCTGGATGTGGAGATCCGGAAGCTGCTGATGCTCGCCGGGTTGACGCAGGCCGAGCTCCTCAAACTCAGTCCTGAGCTCGGCGTCTGCGTCGGGGGCTTGGAGGATGAAGAAGAGGGAGATAATCATGTTACGTCTACACCTCTGGAGCTGCAGGAGTTCAGGTTACGAGACGGGGATGGGGAGTGTGAATCTGACGCAAACAGGTTCGATGGAGATGGAAGAGTGCATCCATCTGAAGGCAGCGGTAAGAAGGAGGAGAACGCACAAAGAACTACTTCTTTTACTGAGATGGCAAGAAGAAGGAGGAGGAACACCGGTCTGATGGCGGACCAGTACTACAGCTCAAGTTTTATCAAAGCACACGAAGCTATGAACGTTGGGACTTTCCGTTACCCCAATGAGGTACCAGATTCTCCCCCGCCTCCTCCTCCACCTCGCCCTTTACCACCCATTCCCCCTTCTCTTAAAGTTAGCACCTTACCCGCCAACTCTAAGCAGCCTGAGCGCTTTGACTGGCTCATCGCATTCACACCAGAATGTGACGCCCCTCCACAACTCCCAACCACGGAGAAAAGAAAACCTCACATGGAAACCCCCAAAAAGTCCTCTTCGTCAGGTTCGTCTCCTGGTTCAGGTCCAAAAGTGACAACCTTCAAAGAGCTGCGCTTCCGCAACAAGAGCGCCTCCCCTCCCACGAAGATGATCATTGAACCCGATCCCGACCCCTCCGTCGTCACCCCCGATCCGGATATACTCTACAACTTAAAGTGGAGGAGAGAGAAGGTGGGCAGCGACGGCCACCAGTGGGAGTACACCTCGCAGGCCCAAGCCCTGTTCATGCAGCCGCCGCCGGCCCTCACCTCTATGGCCGCCCTGCAGGAGATGCTGCAGAGAGCCGACCAGGAGGGCGGGCAGCCGGAGCTGTGCCCGTCGCAGAAGATGGGCTGCTCTGCCAGCGACAGCAGCCTGTGGACTGTAGGCAAGCAGAGGGAGAGGGGAGACATTCAACAGGAGAAACAGGAAACCAAGGAAGAGGAGGAGGTGAAGGTGAGAGGCCAGGCTGATGGAGGGAGAACTTTGGAATCAAGAACTACAGGTGAGTGTTGGTTTCATCTACATGAAAAAAAAAAACTGTTTTAACATTCTTATGTCTACTATTCTGTGCAAAATTCTCTTTATATGGTTCTTTATATTTTGATTCTAGGTACACAAAATTTCAAGATTTTTCTTGACATTTGGTCCCTTTTTAATTCAATTCCATTCAATTTTTGGACCTTTAGTTACTTTGATACCAGCAGCCTGTATGGGATAAATCTTGTGCCAGCAGGAATTGAATCTGAATGTGCATAATTAGAAATTGAATGCATTGGTTTGAAAATGAATTTTACTAAATTGAAACTTGAATTAGAATTAATTTGCTTTGAAACTGTATTTTTGTTTATTAAAAATTCAGTTTGACTACTTTCACTTTCAGTTCCATAATTCANCCATAATTCAGATTTTTGTGTCACATCCTGGTCCTTGAGAAAGCCAGGCAGAGTAATCAAACACAGATCCACAGATTTATGTTTCACTTTGGTGAAGTTTCCCTTCTGGATGTAACAGAGTTGATGCAATCCACTGTAAAAGTGACAAAAACAGACAAAGTTATTTTATTGCAGTGATTACTTTTACTTAAAAATCTGAATTTTGGAACTGAAAGTGAAAGTAGTCAAATTGAAATTTTAATAAACTGCAATACAGTTTCAAAGCAAATTAATTCAAATTCAAAACTTTAAATTCAGTTTCAATTTAGTAAAATTCATTTTCAAACCAATGCATTCAATTTCAAATTATGCACATTCAGATTCAATCTGAGCAATTCAGATTCACTTCCTGCTGGCACAAGATTTATCCCATATTATCAGCAGCCTGCCACAGAGGCACTGAATTTATTTAAAAAAATACCAAAATCAACACTTTGACACAAATGTTTTGGTCCCAACAAAGTGATTCCCAGAGTTATTATCAGTCAGCTGAAGATGATACAAAACTCAGGTTTTTGAGGATTATTTCCTGTTTCTTAAAAACCCAACTTCCAGATCCTGCTCATCTGATGATTTTTTTTTGTCTGCTACTTCTTCTACTTGTTCACTTTCTTCATTATTTTCAACACACACTACACAACATGCTGTCATGGTCGGTCGCTGTATAAGGACTGGAGATGAGTGAAAAAGCAGCCAAAGTTAAAAAATAAAATAAAGACTTTCGGAAAACCTGAACAACTAATGATCTGGAAAACTTTAAAAGATTTTGAAAAGTCCGACACTTTATGTGATGTGTTTTACAACTTTTCTACAGTATTTTAAGCCTTTGTGTGTGTGACAATGATACCCCTGGGATGAGCAGATAATAAAGAACAGAGGGGTATAAAATGACTAAAGAAAGTCACAGAATAGGGATGAAAAATGGTTGGATGATGAGGGATGAACAGTGATTTTAAAAACGAGTGATGAAGGCCGAGCAATTAATCCGAGGTTAAACTTTCCAACTAGTACTTCCTGTGCTTATGATGTCATCATGATGTCATCATAACCTCACTTAATAATTCATCCCTTCTTTGTACTGAGGGTGCGATGATGGAGAAACCACAACGAGAGCATTTTCTCCTCTCTTTTCATCCCATTTGTGTCTCAACATCTTCCCTTCTTACAGCTGGTGATGTTTACGCTCCTGCCTGCCTCGCCTCTCCCAGCCTGAAGTGGTTCACAAAGCTCAGATCGAGTTACTCGTCTAATGCAGGTCTGCAGAGAGGCACTCAGAAACTCAGGTTTAGTCCAGACACAGTAAAGTTCAGCTTCATGCTCAATTCATCCTTATTATATTGGGAAGGTATTTCTCTGATAAATTTAATATAAATTGAACATAAATTTAACACATCGGGGTTCTGATTGATGGACATTTGTCATGGAAATCTTATATAAATGATATAAAAGGAAAAATATCTAAAACAATTTCTGTGATAAATAGGGTAAAGAATATATTAAATAAAAAGGCTTTGTATATTCTGTATAATTCACTGAATGTCTGTAAAACATACATAAATTCAATATTTCTCTTACAGAAAAGAGCTGTTAGAGTTATCACTGGAGCTGGATTCAGAGATCAGACAAACCCAGTATTTATAATCTGCTGTAACTTAATCATTTCATTGAGTACAATATCTTAAAATTCATGTACAAAGCCCATAAAATATGTTACCTAACAATATCCAAACCAGATCCATCAAAAGGGAAAGTAAATATAATTTAAAAGGTGTTGAGACTTTTGAAAAACCTAAATTCACAGCTGTATTAAAGGGAAGATGTATCTCAATTAAGGCAGTTAGTTTGTGGAACGGTCTGATAGTGAGATAAAACAGTCAAAATCTTTTTTTGCGTTTAAAACAACTTGAAAATTATTACGATGAAGCATTATAATATTGTCTAAAGCAGTGGTTCCCAAACTTTTTATCTTCTGACCCACAAACTATCCATGGCAAAATCTTGTGACCCCAAATATTACTGGTCTGAGTACACAAACTTTGTTAATAACCCTAAAAACACAGGCCTTTTGAAAATCTAAACAGCTTGTACACAAATATAAATACTTATTTATAC